ATTGCGCGAGTACTCTTCTAGTATATATATATATGATTTGTCAATTATGAATATCGAAATATTGGGTTTTTTCATATAAAAAAAACATGTTTTATGCTAGGAGTTTGCTCCAAATACGAAATGAGTTACCACGGCAAAAATGGGTTGAATCGTTGGCACCGTAATTTTGAAACGCAGCAGCAAAAATATATTAAAAACCAGAACAAATATAATGGGTAACAGCAGAGACTATGAGGTGCAGTAGGCTACAAAAAACACAAAAAAAGGAAAACAAAAACGCATAGAGCTGGGTAGAGGCAAAACTCTACGCTCAAAAGGAGTAGCTTGAAAGAGATTAATAACTGAAAAAGAGCCTATGACTAACGTTACCCGTTAAGGGGAAGTGAGGATGGATTATCGATCCACAATTCCCACGAAGTTGAACCCTTTCTAAGACGTCTCGTCTTGCATCAAATTGGTGTAAAATTTAATGTAAACAATAATTCTTCTTCAACCCATTACTTTTTTAAAGAAATGTAGTGTTTGGAAAGTTGTCTTGTAATATTTATTTTTAATTTATTAATGGTTATATATTTTTAAAAAATGGAATGATATACATCATATATGTCAGGTTTCGTTGAAAGAGTAAGAAAAATGTCTTTTTACGTTAATGTCTCTAGATCAGGTTTCGTGTAAGACTGGTTAGGATTATCAGTAATCAACCTTTTGCCTAAATACACATCAGATACGTTTTATTTAATTCGTTAAACTTAGTTTTTCAAACACTTAAACAACATCTTACAAACTCTCTTTTCTTCCAAAAAAGTGTTTTTTTTTTTTAATTACTACAATTTTTTTAACTAACATTAACCTCTACATACAATTATTTGCAAACGGTCACAAATTGCAACATCGGTAATTAGAAATTAGGTTGCGAAAATAAAAAACAGATGCCATAGAGAAACCCTAGAAATTGAACAATATGATAAAGGAACGAACATGCTAACAAAAATCGGTAATTAGAAATTATGTTGCCAAAATAAAACAGATGCCATAGAAAAAAACCCTAGAAATTGAACAATATGGTAGAGGAAACAAACTTTGGAAAATTGGATGCTTGTATTCTGGAAAACGAAAACAAGATACTTTGAAAACATGCTTCAAATTTATACGAGTAGAGGATGTGAAGTATCTCCATCTAAATCGGTTGAGCAGTTGAAATCGATAGGACGATATGTACGAAACACTTGAAATCGATAGAATGATATGCACAAAGAGGCTGTTTGAAATTAAAATAGAGAAGGATATGAAAGAATCTGGTTTAAATCGAATAGAGATGAGGGATATGGACGAATACATATGGATCAAGGGATTGATATACTTGTAACCAAGCATTAAAAACTTGTAAATTTAAAAATTAAGTAATTAGCATTATATAGCAGTACGTAATGCTTAAAAAATTGTTTTTAATAATTTTTGCCAAATACTTTTATAAGATAATATATATATAAATTAAGTCCTTGAATATTTTGTTTGTAATAAATAAACTATCGAACTTTTAAAATTTGGTTATATACAATATTTTAAAAACTCGATAGTTTATTTTATTTAAAAAATGTTTACGAATTTAATTATTTAAAATAAAAAACTTTAATGATTTTTTATTTAAAAAAATAATACAAAAACTTAATTATTTAAAATTAAAAAAATTAATGGATTTTTTATTTTTAAAAAATAATTTAGATACTTAATTATTCAAAATTAAATAGTTGAATTTTTATGATTTTTTGTTAAAAAAAAATAAACCCGAAGAAGCCCACTGGACTTAAACCTAAGCCCGCCAAACATAACTTGATCGACGGCTACTGTTCATTCATGCTCTACTCCCGATCCGAACCGTTGGATGGGCTTCGTTTTAAAACAAAACTAATCCCACAAAACCCTAATTCCTCCATTCCTCTTTTAAGAAGAGCTTGTCATATTGAAGAGACGCCCCTTACTCGCCTGCTGCTTTCAGTCGGTAAGCTTCTTCAGATCCTACATTCCTCTCTCTATGTTTCTAATCCTCTTCTTCAATAATTGTATCTGTTGTTCTTACATGTTTGATTAATGAATTGTGATATATGAATCATCATCGCGGTTTTACATAAGTTGATCTCGCCTTTAGTTGCTTGTATTGTGTATGAAGTGTCATTTCGTCGATTTAGGTATTTCGAGTGGTTTGATTTGTTACTGTAATTAGTTTCTTTTATAGCAAAAATCGTTCATTCTTTTGCTTCTGACAGAAGGAGAATCAACACTGTTAGACCGTAGCTAATTGGTTGCTTCTGTAGTGAATTCGTGATGTATTGTTGTTTTAAGAGAATTTTGGTTTTGGTTCATTGTTTTGTCTTGGTTCGTTCGATGATAAATGGTTGGATTGACTACGATTTGAAGCGTTTAGCTTGATTTTTAGGGCTAAATGGTTTGATGAATGGGTACATGGGTTTTAATTTTTGCAAGTGTTGATGTAGTCTGAAGAAATGGCTGAAGTTGCCAAGGTAGGACCTGCGGTTCCGGAATCAGTGCTGAAGAAGCAAAAGAGAAATGAGGAATGGGCTTTGGCTAAGAAGCAAGAGGTTGAAGTATTGAAGAAAAAGAATGCTGCCAACAGGAAACTGATCTTCAACAGGGCTAAGCAGTACAGTGAGGAGTATGAAGCTCAGGTATGATAGTTTTCCATTTTTCTTCTGGTTTATGTGTATCAGACTTTCAATATGAGTTGAATGAATATGCGTTCTTTTGAATGCAGCAAAAGGAATTGATTCAACTGAAACGTGAAGCAAGGTTGAAGGGTGGGTTTTATGTGAATCCTGAAGCCAAGATGCTGTTCATCATTAGGATCCGTGGGTATGCATCATTATTTGCGACCAATATTCCTGTTAAATTTCATTGTAATTCTATGCAAATGCTAAAAGCATCATATTCTATTTTATTTTAAAACTTTTTGTTTTTGAATATTTAGTATCAATGCCATGGACCCCAAATCAAAGAAAATCTTGCAGCTCTTGCGTTTGAGACAGGTGAGTTCCAAATCACGCATTCCAGGGTTCTTATTCTTTCCATCTGTTTTTGATCACATACTGTTGATTGATGATTGAACTTATAACTTCTCTGTGTCTACAGTCTTCGATGCCCTTATGCAATTTTGTAATTAAATGCCAGCACATGTTTTCAGTCCACATTTAACTTGTTGCTTTTGGATTTCTATTATAAACCTGATGTTTTTTCAGAGCATTTTAGTGTAGTGTACCCTGCCAGCTCAATAATCATTGTCAACAATGTAGGTTTAATCCAAAATTATTGCTTTTTGGGATATGCAGATTCGGAATTTTTTTTGAAAGATGGAATGTTAATATCTTAATGCAATGTTATGATAGCGATATTAAAATCCATTAATTCATTGTGGCCTCATGTTTGTGACAGTGAAAGTGGTCTAGGGGATAAATTAGATCAAAGTGTTGTATTTATGCACATTCCTCTGCGAATATAGGGAAGTAAGTTTATATGTGATAAAGAAGTAATGATGGTAGAATTAATGGTTTTGGATCACAAATTCTATGCAACCTTCTAAAATTAAGATGGATTCGTGTAAGTTTCAAGTAATAATCTATCTATTGAATCTAACTGTAGAGTAATTTGTGGATGTTTTATTTCATTTTCATCAAACCTCATTCGGACATGCATAGTTCTTTTAGCCCTACCCGTTTATTTGGGACTTCCATAGCTTGAATGCTCTTTATGTTTAGGAAGGATCTACTATTCTTTCAAGATGTGCTTAGTCTTGTTCTTATTCACCAGATTTTCAACGGTGTGTTCCTGAAAGTCAACAAGGCAACATTGAACATGCTGCACAGGGTGGAGCCATATGTCACCTATGGGTATGTATCTTTGCAAATGAGTTACTCATGTCCCAGAATATATGTCCACAACAAAAAAGGCACATAGATTTAGAAATGTGATTATTACACTTTTTAATCAACTAATGACAATTTTACTCTTAATAATAGAGCGGTTAATGAACTTTTCTATTCCATAATTAAGGGTATAATTGGAAAGTCAGCACTTGTTTTGGGACGGACTAGAATAGAAATGTGCACACTTTGGGATGAAGGAAGCTTTACTTCTAGAGTATAATCTTATATCATCGTTGGATACATTTTTCTTCTCAGATACCCCAACTTGAAGAGCGTGAAGGAGTTGATATATAAGAGAGGCTACGGGAAGTTAAACAAGCAGAGGATTCCGTTGACCGACAACTCCATTGTTGAGCAGGTCCGGCTGCTTTTTTTCGTATTGAACTTCTAAAAAATCTCATTCTTGAAATCTGGGAAGTATAACTTGTCATTTTGGAATCATAGGGTCTTGGGAAACATGGCATCATCTGTGTTGAAGATCTTATTCATGAGATCCTCACTGCTGGCCCTCATTTTAAGGAGGCCAACAACTTCCTCTGGCCATTCAAGCTGAAGGCTCCATTGGGAGGCCTGAAGAAAAAGAGAAACCACTATGTCGAAGGCGGAGATGCAGGTAATCGCGAAGATTTCATCAACGAACTCATTAGGCGAATGAATTAGATATTTTGATCGTATTTCTCAGCGGTTTTGATGTTGCTATTTGGATTTATTAGATTGTTTACTTGCTATTTTATTGAGAGTTGGGTACTTTTTATTTCAAACAAACAAGGTTGTAACATCATGAAGAAATTTTTGGATTTTGTCATCAAGGTTTCTACTTTCCTATGCTTTCTGAGGTTACAAGTATCTTATAATTCTTTACATCTTAAAAGGGTACTTTTAGCACATGAGACAAGATAAAATAGAATAAAAACTTGTTTTCCACATTTGGTACGATATATATTTTTTGATTAACATGAATATTTAACTTGTTATGCGAGCCGGCTAATCTCAGAGTGATTACTTGCTTTGCGGGTAGTTTGGAGTTACTGCATCATTTGAATCTTTGTGGTCACAAGAAGATTTTTATTCCTCGGATTTGAATTTGTGACCTTTAGGCACTTTTGACCTTTGGAGCCCAAGTTCAAACGAATCGGGCTCAAACCAACGAAGATTAGAGGAGATTGGTAGGGGTGTTTGGTTGAGGGGTAAGGAATGAGAACGATGATAAAAGTTGTGGTTTGATTTGAGATAATACTAGAATGGTATTCGTACATTGCAACGATATATATTTTGATTTTAATGTTTCGTTTTTTTGTCTCAATTGATATTATATTACAGTTTTATGTGGTTTTGAGAAAACGATAATGTTTTTATTTTTGAATAAAATATAAATATGAATATATATCATAGAAAATTGAAAAAAAAAATACTGATATTAGTACCAAAATATTTTGTTAGAACTCAATAATTATCTTAATTATATTTTAGATTTTTTATATTTAAAATAAGATGTATATCCTCTATTTGATTATATTTATCTATAGTTAGTTATATGAATTCAAACATGAAGCTTTAATAAGTTGTACTTACGCATAATTACTTGTAAAATTGAATTTTAAGTAATATGTATCAATAAATAGTACTTCATGCATAAAAAATGGTTTTTAAGAGTATTTGTCAAATACTTTGTAATATAGTATAGACAATGGGCTAAAACCATTAATTTCCATACCGACCAAATCGGTGGGAATACAATTTCGTTTCTTTTCTCATCATCTTGCATTTCCGTTTTTATTCTCATTTCTTAAAATGAACCAAAAGTTCCCTAAAACTGCATGTAAAAAACTCTAAAACCTTCAAGCTCACTCTTGTCTGTCTAGTTCTGTTCACGTATCAAATACGCCCTTTTGTAGACCAATTTTGTGTGGGATTTTTCCGAGTTCGTTTTAATGTTTTCCCATGTTAAAAGTATCATATATTTCGTTGAATCTTTAAGGGTGCATTTGGTACACAGAGACCACCTTTGGCATGAAATTAGACCGGGAGAAAATTGCATTTTTTTTGTCCCATCAAATTAGGTTGAACAAAAGAAATGGTAAATTATTAAACTATCAGTGTAAAATTAAAATGCTAAAACCCTTTGAGAATTATTTTATTCGGCTACCTAGGGTTTGTTTATTTACCTGTTAATAGTTCTATTAAGAAACAATCTCTGAATTGTTAAGAGGTGGATCTTGTTTGGTAAAAAAAAAATCTATCTTTTAATAGTTTTAAACCCTCTGAATAATTTTGTATCCTGGATTTCTCTTAATCTTTAAGAGCCTTGGTTTCATTGTACACAATTAACAAACAATTATATTTCATTTACACTATATCAGCAGAGTCTCTTGATCATTCTGACCACTTAACCATTATGCACCAAATCATTCAGCAAATACCAAACAGTCCCTTAAATCTTGCCACCGCTCCTTTTTTATAATCCAATTTTGTGTTAGATTTACGGAGTTGGTTTGGTTTGTTCGAATTACTTAAAACCGCAAGTAATCTTTACAATGCCATCAAATGTTTGCCATATTTCTATCCATGATCTTTTGTTGGTGTTGCAACCATAACTGTTGCTGTTTTAGCAAATTTTGTTGGTTCATTCTCTCACTAAAAGGATCTTTTATCTGAATGTATGGCCCAAAAGGGTCACTCTGATCGCCGTGTGCTGGCGGTGTAAAAGATGATCGTGGGATCGGATCATTCTGGCTGCTGATTGATCTGACCAAGAACCGATCATTTTGGCGCTGGTGTGGTGGGAGTGCAAATCGATCACTCTGTGTTTTTCGTAATCCTGCTGAAAAAGGATCGTTTTGGCTGGGAGTGGTCCTCGGAAATGGTGGTGGTGATGAGAACGGATTGACACCCAAAAAGTTTGCTCCGAAATCCATTGTTGGTGAAGGGCGGCGTGGCGGCGTGGCAGGTATGACGTCTAAAAACGGGTTGTAATGGTTTAGTGACGGCGATTGAGGTGGAGGCTGATCATATAATGTGATAGCGGTAGATGCATCGAAGGTGTTTGATGAAATGCCTTGATGAGTTTGTTGTGGTCCAGGGGTCCCTACTAAGGCAAGTTCCCAACCCTCGTTAGACTCTGGTTGTTTTCGTCTAGAGTATGTGTCGTGTACTTGAAGATTCCCGAAACCGTCAAGACTGTTTTCTCGAGACTGCGGTAGCCGTTCAACACTCTCGGCCAGAACGAGCTCCCAGCTTTTGTCTAAACTAGATTGCAGCGGGTCGTTGCTTGATGTCGAGTGTTGGGGGTTGGTCGAATCGTTCAGTATCACGGTATCGAACAACTCCTGTTCTCGTTCTTGTTCTTGTTGTTCCTCTGGTGGCCAATCATCTAACGAGAGAAGGTCGATCATCGAGTTCATCACGGGCAACGATTGGGTGGAACCCGTGTAACTCACTCTAAACGGTTCTTCTTGTTGGTATGTCTTCTCAAACTGATCTGAATATGCCTCCAAATCGATCGATATAGACGGTCTTTTCCCCGTCTCTGTAGCACTGATCAAATCCTCTATCGACGAGCATTGTGTACCAAATTCCGATCTTGCATCGAGGTTGGGTTGCCAACTACCATCACAGCTCGACGGTGATCTCACTTCCGGATCCGGGACAACGAGCGGCTTATTCGGTGGTCTCACATGCCCTGAAGACGAAGATTGATCCTCCAAAAAATGTTCCATTCTTTCGAGGGATTCTTCCGATATCGTTTGGATGTTAGGGTACTCGGAAATCCTCCCTACCCCTATCGTTTGACATACCGAGTAAAACTCGTTGAGCTCTTCGAATTGCTTCACCGCCATAACGGAAATTTCAAACGCACATACACATGCTTCGTATTGTAAATGGAAGAAATTATTGAGAATAAGCGCTAATCCCTCGGTTATATCCTTGTAGATATCAAAACTCTCTTTCACGACAACGTAAAGAGAGATTTGAATCAACCGGTTCATCTTGGTTGAACCAGTTGGCCTGGTAGCGATTGCACGATTGAGCAACCGCTGCCAGCTTGCAATCCGATCTAGTAACATTGAAGGTTTCATATCACGAAGCGATTCGTTCGCCATCGTCCTATAGCTATGACTTCCATCTCTCTCTTTACACGTATATCGTTGTCGAAGTTTTCCGGTGAGAAAACAATCCAATCGTTGTTCTAAATACAGAGCAAACGTCCGAACAAACGCGGTGTAATCCCACGGGCTCGAATGCGATTCATCTCGGAAGTTCGAGAGGTTGAGAATCTTGGCGCCTCGTTTCATAGCATGGAGAACCTCTCTCGGGAAGTACGGATCACCGTCTTGGAATATCCGGAGCACGAGCATCAACGACTTCAGTGCGACGATCCAATTACGAGTCCGACTGATCCGTCTTCCGATGGCTCGGGCACACGCCCCGGCATGGATTTTGTTGGAGGAGACGAGTTGGAGGACGTCGTAGATGTGGCGCTCCTCGATTGGATCATCGTTGTGGGTGGTGGCTCGGACGATGGCGACCTCGAGGTTCGATGAACCGTTGACTATGGCTAGACTTATGCTGGTTTGATCTTTGACTGCTCCTATTGCCTTTTGAAGTCTTGTGGACATTGTTTCACCTTCTTCTAGGGTTTGATTAGATTGCAAAAATGGTGTTTAATTGGTAAAAGAATTAGGGTTTCAAGAGAATTTGGGGGAAGAGAAGATGGAAATTGAATGAATTGGTTTTTAAGGTTTGTGGTGATTCCTTAAGTTTCTCATGATCCCAAAAACTTTTGAGATAATTTAGGGTTCTTTTTCCTTTTCAAATGAGAAAGTTGTACCAAAATAACTTTCTATCTGATTCTTATTTTGGGAAACCAACTTTCAAAATCGTTGTTTAGAGGTCTTTATCAAACTTTTTATTTATTTAAGGGTCTCGTTGAACAGGTAATTTAAGGGTCTCTATCAAACTTTTGGTTTGATTTGTCAAATTTGATTTAAACTTTAATATCGATACGTATTGGTTAGATATAAAAATCTTGAATGTGATATTTAATATTTGTTTCTAATTTTTTATTACATTAGTAAAAAACATTTTTTTTATTATGGTAATTTGGATTTTTTTTGAAAAAATCTTCAATTTGATATCTGAATTAAAAAAAAAAGATTTGAAATGAAAAATAGATTTTATTGCATTAATTTTTGCAACAAAAAAAAAACGAATTTTAGTTATTTTTCTATAATTATTTTGCAAGTTGGTTACCTAGAATAGGAATCAAATGCAAGTTGATTCCCCAAAATGACGATTTTAAAAGTTGGTTCCCAAAATAGAAATCAGGTGAAAGTTGGTTCCATTTTGGTGCAATTTTCCCTTCCCAAATTGTTGGGCCCAAATCATATTAGAAAAAGAAAAAACTCATGACGACGTAGTCGGCTATATAATTCATTGGTCAATGAGTTCTGAGCATTCTCAAACTGTAAGTAAGTATGGTCAGGGTTCATACTGGGATGACTTGCTTTTATTGGGTTCACGTCTTCATTCTAGATGAGTCACTTGGATAAACATCCCTCCACTTAAATTCTGTATTTCTTGTCCATATGAAGTAAATCTAAAATATATAAAAAACCGTTGTGTCTTAATTTCATTGGTCGGACAGAAATAGAGTGTAATTTTAGGATAGTAAATTTTTATCTGAAATGGTTTAGCAGTATCTAGTAACCCAATTTTTTTAGAGATTAGTGGTTAAAACTTTGTAAACAGTGAAGAGGGCGTACATGGTATTATTTGGTCATTTTGGTGAATTTTCCTTTGATTTATTGTATATAAACATCATATATTTAACAAAAATTAAATTAACTGAGTATGAAATACGTGAAACGTTGTTAAATTACGAGGTGTGAAGTGGGAGGGAAAGCCTCGAAAACAAAGAGAAGACGTGTACAAGCGAGATCTCTGATTAGCAAAGGACCAAGGGAAACTTTTCCCCCGTGGACCGCTCTGATCCCACGAGTCTTTCGTTTCCTTTTCGTTTGTTTAGTGAAGTTAATAGAATATTCCATCTTTGCGAAAATTCAAGATAATTGTTATCTTGATACATAAATCAACTATGTTGAATGTGGTGGAATACTACACTCTGATGTCTTAATAGGGTTGTTTACTAAATACTTGTTGTATAAACGCTTATTAATATCATTTACCTCATCTGTTGAGTATGTATAAGATTATGTAATCTTACCCGATAAAAAACATAACAAAGACTGATAGTATTATCCGGTAAGGGAAAATACTTTTAGTTGCTAAGTGCTTACCGTGTTTTAAGACACTTACTACATTCCATTTTGATGGTCGATAATGTTACACGATAAGGTAAGTAAGAGTGACGTCTCTATTCGCTCATCAAATCATTTACCTTTAGTGTTTTTGTACTTTGATTAGTTTGCAACTAAATTACAAGTATAATAATTAAAATTATATATATATATATATATATATATATATATATATATATATATAG